GCGCGGACCCCAGCAGCGAATGGCCGCGGAGTGCGCTGCCCACCCAGGCCCCTGTCGGGCTCTCTTCCCGTCGGTCCGGCATGCGGGCGTGCCCGCTCTGTCTGTCCTGCCGGCCCCTTTCCGCATCCCTCGATCTGCTCCTGCATCTGCCTTTTGCTTGCTTTGTCTCCCTCTTCATTTCCATCTGTCTTGTTGTCCCTGTCCCTCTCTGGGTCTCTCTGGCTCTATGTTCTGTTTCAGAGAGCTGCTGCTGTGAACTCTGAGGGACCTGGGCTTTGGGACCCAGCGCGGGCCTTTACTGGCCACGTGGCCTTGGCAGATGGGTTAGCCCCCCCCCCAAATCTGGAAGGGTGCTGTGGGCAGTGAATGAGACGCCCCTCTGCTCCTGACGCTGAGGCGTGCGTGCCTTGGCTGTGAGCACATGCCATGGAGGGGGTGCGGGAGGCACAGGCTGCCTTCCTGGAGTGAGACTTCCACTCAGATTTGGAAGAAATTCTCTTTTTATGTTAGAGAAAACAGATTTACTCGATTAGAATGTAAACTTTGCATTCATTTTAAAGACAAAACGAGTGTGAAGATGTTTTGCACGTGTACAGGGCAGCTTTGGGATCCACTCCAGACCCAGCAAGTGTGTTCCCAGACCGTGTGGCCACGTGTGAGAAGCTCTGGCCTTGGGCGAGGCCAGCACATAGGTGGTCCATAGCGGGGACTCAGCGAACCCGTTGGCTTTTTTTCCTCTCGTCCCCACCTCATCTCTATTCCTCTGTCCCCCATCCTCTTCTAAGCAGAGCCCAGATTTGAGCTGGGCAAAGCCAGCCCTGACTACCTTCTCTTGGGGCACCCTCCCCTCGGCACCCCCCGTCTGTCACCGTGGAAACATGTGTCACTGCGCCAAGGCCATGGCCTGAGCTGTGTCCCCTCCCACATGACCCCCACCTGCCATGCCCCTGCCCACGGGGTTCTGCACTGTGCCCCGGGCGGGGGTGGCACCGAGGGATTGCGGGGACCCCGGAGGCGGAGGCAGGGTGCTGGCGTCTTGAGGGGAGGCGGCGGGCAGGCTCGCTGACGGCGGTGCGGTTGCAGACCCTCAGGAAGAAGGGCTTCAACGGCTGCGACAGCCCGGAGCCCGACGGGGAGGACTCGCTGGAGCAGAGCCCGCTGCTGGAGGACAGGTGCCGGCGGGCCAGCGAGGAGCTGGACGGGCTCTTCCGGCGCTACGGGGTGAGCCTCACGCTCTGTCCGCCCGCCCCAGGCGCTGCACAAGAAGCACAGGGAGTGTGAGAGCCCCGAGGTGGACGAGGCGTTCGCCCTGACCCCCCAGACGGAGGAGAAGTATAGAAAGATAGACGAGGAGTTTGATAAGATGATGCAGAGCTATAGACTGGCCGTGAGTAGTGCGTGCCTGGAGCCCCGTGCTGCATGGTGTGGCTTCGCCCGGCCCGCGGCTGCCTCTGCCGGCTGCTCTGCTCCTAGCGAGCTGGGGCCGTCGGTGACTCCCGAGGAACCGCTGACGTTGGTCGCGGGGGACCAGTGCCCCGACCGCGACTCGCCAGGTGGAGCGCCACCCTCTCCCCCCCGGCAAGGAGTCACAGGCGACGTGTGAGGCCCTTAGTGGCAGGGCCGTGGCGAACATGCTTGTCCGGGCCTTTTTGGGGCCAGGCCCCAGGCCTGCTGAGACACCCCTGGGCTCGGGCATTCAGGCCTGTGGTTGGGGACAGGGACTGCTTAAGGGGAAGGCAGCGAGGTGGGGCAGGTGCCTGTGTGGGGGCCTTGGGTGGTTGGGTGGCCTGGCGTCCTGACCCGCAGCGCAGGCCCCGCCTGCTGTGTGTGTGTCTGGTCATACGTGGGGCCGCTAACCGCTCCCCGCGTGTCCCGCCTGGCTGAGGACTAACCCACCTCCACGAGCGGTTCCGGCGGTCCCTGGTCCTTTTGCAGTGGGCAGAGTCTTGTCCTGTTCTCCGGCCCAGAGCCGGGCCCCACAGCACTCCCAGCAGCGTCCGTCCTCGGTGGGGAGGGCCTGAGCTGCTGGCCCGTGGACGCGCAGCTCAGCGCTAGAAGAACCTTCGGCTGCCTTCTTGGGCAACAAGGGTCCAAGGTAAGGGGTCACCCCAGCCTGACCCTGCCTCTTCATTCTCTGTCCAGTCAGCTGTCCCGGCCCCCAACTTCGCCATGCCCGTGACGGTGCCCGTGTCCAACCAGAGCTCACTGCAGTTCAGCAACCCCAGCGGCTCCCTGGTCACCCCCTCCCTGGTGACGTCATCCCTCACGGACCCACGGCTCCTGTCCCCCCAGCAGCCAGCACTGCAGAGGAACAGCGTGTCCCCCGGCCTGCCCCAGCGGCCAGCCAGCGCAGGTGAGTGGCGGTGGGGGGAGCGGGGACTTGCAGCCCGTTTCCCCCTGGGGCGCCCCCTTCCCCTGCACACCCCCCTCATTTTCATGGCTCCTCGGGGGAGGGACCGGGGCCCCGCTACCCATGTAGTCCCCACGGCCCGCTCTGGAGGGGCGTCCTGTTAGCTCACGTGGCTGTCTGTCCTCCAGGGGCCATGCTCGGGGGAGACCTCAGCAGTGCGAATGGAGCCTGCCCCAGCCCTGTGGGTGAGTGCGCAGGCCCGCGGCTGGGGGCTCTGCCTGCGCGGGGGCTGGGCTGCGGGACCAGGAAGGACCGAGACAAGCAGAGAGGAAGACCCCGGGGCTTGAGCTGGGGGCTGAGTCTGGGGGCTTCTGAGCCCCGAGACCTCGTGTCTGCAGCGGTGACTGGTGACGTGCGGGCCCTTGGGCCCCGCTGAGCACGAGGGCAGGCCGACCTCTCCGGTCAAGGAGGAGGCTAGGCTCCCCTGCTGAGCGGGGCATCTCGTGGGGGTCTGGTGGGTGCAGGTGTGTCTGGCACCACCGACGGACCACAGGCACAGACCGTCACGCACACACACACGCACACACACGCGCGCACACACAGTGCAGGTGTGTCTGGCACCACCGACGGACCGCAGGCACAGACCGTCGCGCGCACACACACGCACACACACGCGCACACACGCAGACGTTCCCGATCCCTGGATGAGTGTTTGTGAGCGCACATCTATAAGCCACAGAAGAGAGGCTGCTCCCCCCACCCCTCCCCACAGCTGACAGCCCCTCCTGCTCTGTGCTGTTGTCCGCTTGGTGACTGTGACTTCGAATGTCACCGTTGACGTCACCCTGACATTCCTGCCATTCCCAGAGTGACCCGGGAACTGGGATGGAGGCAGCCACACTCAGGCAGCAGAGCAAGGTGACATTCTGGCTGTGGTCACCCACACACCTCTGGGCATTAAGGTCCCCCAGCTCAGCACCAGGCACCCTAGCCGCTTCTTGGCACTAACTGTGTCCGGGTCGGGAGACGGGAGGTAGGTAAATGCCCTCCCTCTCCAAGGAGAGGGCCAGAGACACGCCTGAGGCCGCAAGGTGGTGGCGCCACAGCCGTCCAGCCCAGCACGTGGGCCCTGGCTGGCCCCCAGCTTGGCCCCCAGCCCCCTGGACCAGTCATCACACCTCCGCCAACCAGACCTCAAGTTTTCTCTTTTGTAAATAGTGTCCCGTCCGTCGGGGGGTCGGCGTGGGAAAACCCCATGCGGGTTGTGGACGCGGGGCAAACGGAAAGGCAGTCAGTCCGGCTGTGGTGCTGGCTGGGCTATCGAGCCCCCGGTGCCAGGACCCCCGCCCCGCCCAGGAGTGGCTCATCTTCCCCAGAGCTGCAGGCATCTTGTCACGTTCTCATCCAAGTCACAGTGTCCCCAGCTCATGGTGAAGGGAACCATGAGTGGTTCATTTGCCCCAGTGACTGGGACCCTGCCTGAGGCCCAAGCCCCAGGCTGCCAGCTTTTTCCAACCTGGGTCATCGTGTGCCCAGTCGGGGGCAGAAGGTGCTGGACTTCCCGTCCATGGTGACCAAGAAGAGGAAAGGCGGGGAGAGGCCTGTCTCCGCGAGCCTCTCAGCTCCTGTGATTCCGTTTCTCGCACCTGCCTCCGCCCGCCCCGCACACGTGGCTCATGGCAGGGGGCGAACCCCCTGATTCGGGAGCCGGGGGTCCCAGGGGCAACCGGAGAGCTCCTACCCACTCAGGCTTCTAGAGGCGCTGGGTGACAGGCACCTTGGCCCCGGGGGCAGTGAGCAAGGCTGGGCTGGGGCCACGCTTGACTCCCGTGCCCGCCTCTCTCCTCCTCCAGGGAACGGCTACGTCAGTGCCCGGGCCTCCCCTGGCCTGCTCCCCGTGGCCAATGGCAACAGCTTAAACAAGGTCGTCCCTGCCAAGTCTCCGCCCCCACCCACCCACGGCGCCCAGCTCGGAGCCCCCAGCCGCAAGCCCGACCTGAGGGTCATCACGTCCCAGGGAGGAAAGGGGTTAATGCACCACTTGGTGAGTGGGGGTCCGGGCAGGGGCCTGGGAGTGGGAGAGCGGGCAGTTACGACTTCTCAGAAGGCGGAAGGCAGAAGTACCAGCCTCGGGGACGGGAGATGGGAGAGGAGGCTCTGGCCGGGAGGGTGGGAGCCGGGCCGGCAGTCCCCCCGGGGCGCGGGGAGCAGCGCTGTGCTTCAGGCTGCGGAGGCGTGTGGGGTGGCTGGGGGCAGGGGTGCGGGGCCGGAGGCCGGACCCTGAACCGTCCCTCGGTTTTATTTCTGCTCTCAGACTGAGGACCATTTAGACCTGGTAAGTGAGGCGGTGAGACGTTTGCTGTGGCTTTGTGTTTGGGGCGGCGCCGCGGCTCCCGCGGAGTTTGTGTGTGTCCTTGTCACTTCGCCCGCGTGCATCGCATGTGCCGTTCATTTGGTTGTTTGCCAGGAGCTGTGCTCAGATACCGAGGTGGATGGGCGAGGCTGAGGGATCGGATGTGCATGTGTGTGTGCACGTGTGTACACGGGTGTCTCTGTGACGTCGCGTTGGTACAGACACACCGTCCCCCGCACGTGTGCGAGGGGCCAGCACCAGGCCCTGTCTGGGGCGGGCCCCAGGGAGCTTGGATTAGGCGCCTGGGCCCGAGGCTGGCCTGCACCTGTTCTCCGGGTCCCACCGACCCAGGGACCCAGGGCAGGCCCCGGGGGAGCGAACCGGCCGGACGGGAAGAGCCGTCTCCAGGGCGGGCCGCGACGTCCCTGCACGGGGACGCCTTCTTGGCCAGCCCCGCCACGGCACGCAGGCGCCCACGGCCCACCACCCCTTCTTGCTCACAAACCCCAGCCGGGAGCGGGCAGGGGCGCCTCCCCCCACCTCCTGACGGGAGGCCAGAGAGGCTGGAAAAGGCAGGCAGGCTTTGGCGGCCGGCACGGCGGCTGTCTCGGCCCCAGCGTGGAGCTGGAATAAACAAGTGAGTCAGCGGCAGATGGAGCTGGCAGCCCACACACGTGTGTGCAGACACGCAGGCACACGCGTCCCCTCGCAGATGCCAGCTCGCCTCCAGCGGGCAGGCGCCGCGGCGTGCCCCGCAGTGTGCCGGCCGAGGAGGGCCGGGCGGACGCGGCCTGTCCCTTCTGCTCAGAGCAGGGGCGCGGGGCCGGTGCACGTGCCCACCTCTCTGCGCGTCTGCAGGTGTGACCGGGCGTGCGTGACCTGTTTCCGTGGGTCTCGGTGTCCGTGTGACCGCACCAGCACATGCTCGTGTGTCTCGGGACCTCCGTGCCGAACACCCCACTGGGCCTCGGGACTCAGGGCCCCCGCCAGGCCTTAGAGTGGGAGGCCAGGACCGAGCAGCGCCCCCGTCCCCCTGACTGCCAGTTTTCTCCCACAGAACAACGCCCAGCGCCTCGGGGTCTCCCAGTCCACGCACTCACTCACCACGCCAGTGGTCTCCGTGGCAACGCCGAGCTTACTCAGCCAGGGGCTCCCCTTCTCCTCCATGCCCACTGCCTACAACACAGGTGAGAGCGTTCGGGGGCCTCGGCGCAGGGGAGGGGCCCGAGAGGGGGACACCCTAGTCTGAGGAAGGCCATCGATTGGGGGAGCCCCACTTAATCCAGGTTGCCACGTTTAGCCAATAGGAACGTGGAACGCCCAGTGAAATTTGAACTTCAGGAAAAACAGCGAATAACTTTTTAGCGTAAGACATACCTGTGCCTGAAGAGTATTATTTTGTCTGAAATTCAGATTTAACGGAGCATCCCTTATTTTTAATACAGGACTTAATGGAGAAGGGGGTCCGCATCTTAGGGTCCCCCGTGTCAGGACCAGCCAGGCCAGAGGTGGGCTAAGCCATGTCTCAGGCCACCGGGGCTGGGGAGGGGGGAGGGGACACGGTCCACTGAGCGAGGCTTCCTGTGAGAGAAAGGAGACGGGGACTGAGCAGGCAGAGGGGCCTTGTCCAGGTTCCTGGCAGTGCCGGGGGTTTCCGGGGTGTGGGTCTGGGTGGCACGGTGATGAGGGGGAGGAGGGGCGAGACCGAGGAAGGTCGGGAGACGGGGCCGAAGGTGGCGTCACTTGAGACCCGGGAGCAGTGTCCAGGTAGAATTCAGAAAGGACACCCAGTACCCGGCCATCCTGGCCTGTGTCACCCACTCACGCCCTCCTGGGAACAGTCTGTGACACTGCCAGCCGCCCTCACCTGTGCTCCCAGCTGCTGTGTCAGGAGGGACTGCCCAAGGGGACGTGCCTGGTCACCTTGTTTCAGAGCCCGTACGAGGCCGGGCCGCCTGGTCCGTTGCCACCAAGGAGACCTCTGCCACTCCCCAGGCTTCCCACCTGGGAACGGCTTGTGTCAGGGCTGTTTGTGATGACGTCAGAGGAAGCAGACCCTTCCGTTCTCCCTGCCCGCTAAGCCCCCGTCCCAGAGCCACACCGTGAATAGGGCCCGGACCCCAGCACAGATGCCGCAGAGCCCCCGCTCCTCCCAGTCCACGTGGGAGACCCCGGGCCGGCCCTGTACGAAGCCCCGGGGACTGCCTCACGTGGAGGGGCCCGGCGCTGGCCTGTGTCTGTGCCCAGCGTCCATACAGTCCCCTGTCCCTGCGTGCGCTCCCACGCATGCACTCAATCCTGGGCCGTTACATCCTTGAGCAGCTTCAGAGGGGACTGCTTCAGGTGGCCGGGCTCGTCTGTCAGCGTGGTGGGCGGACAGGAGGCCTCTGAGGCCAGCCCGGCCCTGCCGGCTCCGGGGCGGGCGTGGGGCTGGGCGGGGGGGCTGGGCAGACCGCTTTTCAGGAGCTGCTGTTTTGGGGATGCCGCGGTGGTGGCTTTCGCCGTCTTCTTGGGTTCCCGGCCACCCGGTGAAGCAGGAGGGAGGTCAGGGGGTGTCAGCGGGCCAGCCTGCAGAGTCCTTTTGTCAGCGTGATGGGAGCGGACTCTGCCCCGGAGCCTGCTGGGAAGTGAGTGGCCCTCCTCGAGTCCCCTGGGCCGCCGGGGGCTCCGGGGCGTCCGGCCCTGGGCGTCAGTTATGCAGCAGATGCTTGCAGGTGGCACTGGGTGTGTAAACAGCATCCCAGCAAGCATGTTGCTGTTCGGTTGTTCACTGTTTACAGTCCTTGGCCCCAGTTCAAGTTCCGGCTGGGGGTGACCTGGCCGTGACAGTGTCTTGGGTAAGGGACAGGCCCGGCCCCTTGTTGACACTGGCCGCAGAGGTCTGCTGTGGTCGCTGGGAGTGCTGGGTGGCCTGCAGGCGGCTCCGTCTGCTTGGACGGCTCCGGGCCCCTGGTGGACGGGGCTGGTGCGGGCTGGGGAGGCGTGGGCTGGGGTGGCGTCGGGGCCTGCACCGTGGGGGACCGGGCTAGCCCGGTGCTGCCTGGGCTGGCTTCCGCGGTCGGCACCGAGTATGGGAAGGAGTCGCTCCTGGGGCCTGTGTGCCCCGCTCCGCTTTTCACATGGGAGCCCCCCGGAGCTCCCGGTGAACGCCGCGATGCCAGAGGCGAGCCCGGGCTTTCCTGGGGGCGACTCTCCGGCAGCGAGGCGCCCGGGGTCGCGTCTCAGCTCTGCCAGGGGCTCTCTCTGTGACCTGGGGCGCGTGCCTCAAACTTGAGGCTGCGGTGGCCTCACCTATAAATTAACGTTGATAACCAGTAAGTCATTTGAGTAATTACTGTGAGCTAGCCTGTTTTGCACGCGTCATGCGTGCAAAGTCGCTCCGTCCTCACGAGAGCTGTGTGACCAGGCGGAGTCGTTGCTGCCAGCTCCTCGTGAGTAAGGAGCTTGGCCAGAGTCACGTGCCCCGTGAGTGGCAGGCACCAGGAGGCCCGACCGTGCTGGTGCCCACCACCTCACAGTAGCGTTGCGTGGACGGCACAGGCAAGGCTGGGGCAGACGACCCCCCGAGTGACAGCACGGAGCTGCTAGCACAGGGCGGCTCCCGCCCTCCCCCCTCCCCGTCTGACCTGTCCCAAACAGGACACACCGTGAAACAGCAGCGCCATGCGCATTGTGAAACAGCTCCTGGTGGTTGGTTCTGTGACCCTGCAAACATGACTTTGTTCACTGCGACAGAAGTCTCAGGAAATGACGAGCGCCACCTCGTGGGGAGGGGGCCAGCACCGCGGCCGTGAGCTGCACGGCTGTCCCCTCGCAGGCCCTCCGTGCAGTGGGTGCGGCTGCTCCGCGTGGCGGTTGGCGATCTGCCGAGGCCGGGGTGGGGGACGAGTGGCCTGCGGGGGGGGGCGCAGTGTCAGCGACGTGCTCGGCCGGATCTCACCTTCCCTACTGTCCTCCCCACTGTCCGTTCTTAAAACCGACGTCATAGAAGTGACGTCTACACATGGTAAAAAAAAAGTCGAACGGTAGTTTAAAGATCAGCTTTTCATTCTGTTAGAAATGGCACCTCGTGGTGGTTGCCGTTTGCCTTTCTCGAGCCGGGGTCGCCACCCTCGGGGGCTGGCCGGGGCCGTGTGGTTGTGCTGTCTACCTGTCCGTCATCCACAGCCCCTCCAGTGCCCTACCCGCCCCCCAGCGCCCCAGCCTGCGTCCTCCCCTGCTGAGGCGCGCCCTCCCTTTGCCCCCCTCGCCACAGATTACCAGTTGACCAGTGCGGAGCTGTCCTCCTTGCCAGCCTTCAGCTCGCCTGGGGGGCTGTCAC